TATCTTAAAAGACTAAAAAGCTAGTATAAAAATCAACATTTGAGATTTTCTGAATATTTGTTAGGAGCTAACCAGTTAGCTTTTACAAATAAGTGAATATCCAACTAAGTCAAAATTCAAATGATGTCTGAAATTTACCCATATTATCCAAGAAAAATTAATACACTTCCAACTCCTAAAGCTTCCACTGAAGACCATCTGTGAGGCAGTGTAGCATCATGGCTAGACAGATCACATCTTGGACCAAGGCCCACCCTCCCCGCTTCCTAGCTGCTTAACTGCAGCTCAGTAATCTAACCTCTCAGCTTCCCTGTCCTGAAATGCAGTTAACAGCCTTCTTTCCCAGCGGGTCTCCAGAGGATTAACTGAGGTCCTAAAGGACTCAGCTGGTGTCCACTCTGATGGCCTTTCCAGCTGCATCTCCTGCACTCACCTTCAAGCACTCTCCTCCTCCCTCCCTCATGTTCCATAGGCTATGATCACCTTTCCCTAAACCTCACTCACTCTCTCCTTTACCCTTTCTAAGGGTAAACCTTCATCCTGCAGTAACCATCTTACTACCCCACCCACAATCCAAATCCTGTAATTCCTTTCAAGGCGCAGCTCAAACCTAAATTCTCTTAAGTCCAACATGAACACTACGTCCTCCAAAAAGCCCCCTAATTCCCACAGATCAGTGTTTCTCTACCAGGCTGCAACCCATCTCCTGGGTAATTTAATTTTTTTTTCCCTAAAGCCTGGGAATCAGCCATGTTCACTATGTCCATCTGAGGTGTGGCCAAGGCACCACCCATGGAAGTGACTGCTCATGCTGAGACCCGACAGCGTTTCCCCAGTACTTCCCCTGCAGCACTTTGTACTATCTTAATTACACACAGATTGTATTTAAACTGTAAACTTTTGGAAAAAGGGATCAGCATTTGATATATAGCCCTCAAATATCCACAAGAATAGTGGCTTGAACTACCAGGCTGGTCAACTATCCATTGTTAAATGCAGAGGCAAACAGAATTTCAGTATTCCTAGAATACAGGATCAAAAATATAGTTTAAAACAAAAGCCAAGCAACACCTGAAAAACCAACCTATGTTTCAACAGTTCAGATGTTAAGTTCTACTTGGGTCAACTAGCCAACGTCAAAAAAAAAATAATTTATCCCCAAAACAGACGAAACATCATCATAATAAATCAGGTACGGGCTAATCATGTCTGGTTTCACAGACGGTCCCTCCCATCCCCTCTCCCAGAGTTCCCTGAATGGGTCATGCTCCCTCATGCCTCCTGCTTTGAATATACACTACAAGCTCTTACCACATTCTTCATCTGGCTGTCACTAGCTCATTGTGGAAACACCTTCCATGATGGAAAGTCTTTCCTTAGGTCAAAGTCCTAGTTGAACAGCCCTCTTCTGTACTCCCCAGACACTTGGTAATATTACCCCATCATAGCACCTGTCAAAACAAACTAATACTTTGCTTATCTAGTTACCTGTCCGTTTCTGGGGAGAAAGATTCTCTTCATGGTAACTCCATCATCTTGGATAATATATGGCACTTAGGAAGCATTCAATAAATGCTGAATAAATTAATGAATGAGAAAGAGGCCTTCAGTCTGTTCATCTATAAAAAGGAATTGATATCCAAGGTCTCTTGCAGCTTCATATTCTATTAGAATGAGGGTCAATAAAAACAAATGACAATTACATAAAATAAAGATTTAGATCCATGTTTGGAGTGGAATAATTTCTAAATCATAATGTCACAAGTTGCTCACTTATACAAGATTTTCTTTACACAACATTTTAATATTTAAGCCTAAGGCAATACACTTCTGTCCTATTACTTATTATGTTTGGAGACATTTCTCTTCAAGAAGCATTAAGTGCTCATTAGCAATCCAGCAATCCTAATTTTAATACCAGATAATACATCATTTTACATAGGTAAAGAACTATTAGTATTTCTTAACTATGGATAGGTGAATACTAAGGCAATTTTTACATTTTGAGGCCTACATGGTAGTAGGTGGGTACCACTAGCTTATAGTCAGTACCTAATACAATACTCAGCCCAGAATAGATGCATATTAAAGGACATATAAGTAAGTAAGTAATCCTCAGGTACTGGCCCAATTCCAGTTCCAACCTCAGATAGAGCTATTATTGAAAACAGTCATCTCTGCAATAAAGATGCACAAAAATAGAGATTTGGCTTTGCAATGTAGTTTTGTTTTTTTTTATTAGGTGTTCAAGGCAATGATATCCAAGATACTGGTATATTATTTTAAATACAATAAAAGTATTTTTGTGAGGACTTAGTTTAGAATCTACTGGGACACTATCACTTTCCTAATCTCAACTACTCTTTGTACTAACAGATGACTAGGCTACCCAAACAAACTAAACTTTATATATTTATTTGAAAAGCTTTGTTTAATTATAACAAAGTTAAGGTCATTTAGATACATTAATTATACACATTAATGATTAAATTGCACGATAATTAGACATAAACAATTGTATACAGTAATCATTACTCCAACTTCATTTTGTAGACGATAGCTAAATATAATAATGCAAGCCCTACTATTTTTATCTTTTTTAAGTTTATTTATTTAAATAATCTCTACAGCCAACCTGAGATCTAGAATTCACCAACCTGAGATCAAGAGCTGCATGCTCTATGTATGACTGAGCCAGCCAGGCACCCCACTTTTTAAACAAACCAATGTAACTTTCATGTTCTTTTCTTTTACCTTGATAGCTTTCTTTATTTCTAACTTGCATGAATACTGTAGTTTTCCTAGGTGCCGCATTTTATATCATTAGCACTCATGTAAAATATTAAAAGAAAATGGCTCTAGATCTTACTCTGTAATAATGTGCAATTCCCTTGCTCTTGAACCTTTAATGCCAAGGAAAACTCAAAATATTAAAATCTCTTTCAATAATCCTGAGGTAAGACTTGCCCAATGACCTGATCAACCTGCAAGAGTGCAGAAGTTCAAATACCCTGGAGAAAACTGTTTTGATATTCACAGATGTAGGAGACCTTTAAAAAAAAAAAAAAAAAAGGAAGCTTAAAAAGATTTTAATGAAAGTATGTTCTTGGGGCGCCTGGGTGGCTCAGTGGGTTAAGCATCTGCCTTCAGCTCAGGTCATGATCTTGGGATCCTGGGTTCCAGCTGGGAGTGGGGCTCTCGGCTCAGCAATGAGCCGGGCTGTCCGCTCAGCAGCGAGTCTGCTTCTTTCTCCCTCTGTGATCTCGCTCGCTCTCGCTTTCTCCAAATAAATAAATAAAATCTTATTTTAAAAAAGAATGTTCTCTTCCATGCATTTTTTAAAAATGAGATTGCATTATAACGAGTAATATTAACAAGTATATCTGGGTGCAAGGACACCACGTTGCAATACACTAAAGTGCAGCAAGATCAGAAAAGTGTTTCCTGCCCCTAAAGTTCCAGAAAATATGAGATTTTGATATAAAGCAAGTGTCATTTTAAAACCAGGTAAACTTAAAGATATGAAATACAACCACAATTCAGTGGTTGAAGAAAGATGGATGTTGAGGCAAACTTGTTTTTTACGTCTAAAGTTACTCCTAGCTGTGTTTTGAGCAAGAAAACTGTGGCTCTTCCTAAAGTTGACTATAGACAGAAAGAGTCCCAAAACAAGGCAGATGCTTTGCAAACACAGTAAGGAGAACTAGCTCAGGCTTCTCTACGCCCAGTCCTACGCTCAGTCCTACGCTCAGGGACCACAACGACCAACTTTATTCACCACTGTAACAAGGTGATTCTGAAAAGCTGACGTCTTCAGAGAAAGACCAAGAGAGAAAACTTAGCCATGAAGATCTTCAAGAGAAAACTTGCTTAACTTCTTGCTTTGGGTCTGAAAGAGCCCAAGAGAGTCCTTAAATCCCTGAGCTTTTCCCAATTACCCACGCCACCCCACCTTTTGTATACATTAGATGACAAAACTCTTTGGGTCTGAAAACTCAAAAGTAAAACCTCGAGCGCTCAAAGAACACCCGAAAGGGGGGAAATCCCGTGGCCAAGTAACTCCCCACCACCAGCACTGACCGCCAACGTCGCACCCCACGCTGCAGCGAGGCCGGCACTTACCCACCGCTCGCCCAAGACACCCAAACCGGGGTGTTTCAATCTGAAGTGCGGCACGCTGCCTACTCTCCTGGGGAAGGCTCTTACCTCCCGCCCCACCTCCCTTAAAGATACCCCCACAGCACGCTGGGCGCTGCCATTTTGACAAGAAAGGGGTCCTTGCTCCCGAGGCCCTTAGCCGGTCGCCCCGAGCGGAGCCGGAGCACCAGGGAGTCCCTCACCCATCGCTTCTGCGCCCCCCCGCGTCCAGTCCCTGCGCTCCAGAAAGCGCCCTGCACTGGGGGCCCACAGACAGAACGCGGTAAAGTAAAGGCCCCCTGGAAACCCCGCTCGGCCTCTCAGGCAGCGCGGAGGGCGGCCCGGCGCAAGGGGCGGGTCATCTGCGGCCGGGGGCGGAGCGTCGACCTGCGGCGCGCTCGGTCACCCTGGCAACGCGACCTCGGACCTCGCGGAGATGCGACTAGGCGCTGCGGTGTGACACTAAATATCCCCGCCATGACCCTAGGCAGTTCGCGAAGGCGCTCCTAGATTGGCTGCACGCACTCCGTGCTTCAGCCTCCGGCCTGCGTCCCTCCACAGGCTCAGCCCTTTCCCTGCGGCCGTTCCCCCTTCCCGCCTCAGCCCGCTGGTAGGGCTGCTGTACGCCGGAGCCTCGAGGCGCCGGCAGAGGACCGGAACGCCTCCGTGTCGGCGCCTCCCCCTTAAGCTGCCCGAAGCCTGCCTGCGCCCGCCTGCGCCCGCCTCCGAAGCGGCGCGCGACGCCCGGCGCCCTCAGGCGCGGGCCGGTGCTCACCCAGGCCTAGGCCCGGGCCGCTAACAAGACCGAGCCCCACCGCATTTTATTTTATTTCGTTCGTGGTTTTGCATAGACTGAAGTTTCGTGGGTTAGGTTAAACTCGGGACCTTCTCGAAGAGGACCCATTTATTTTTTTTTTTTTCTTTCCAAAATGGCAGCCTCCAGCCGCGCACAAGTGTTAGATCTGTACCGGGCGATGCTGAGAGAGAGCAAGTATTTCAGCGCCTACAATTACAGGTGACCCGGCGGGCGGCGGGGGCCGGGAGGTCCGGGGTGCGGGGAGCTCCTGTCCCGCGCCGGCAACTTCGGGACGGGGATGCAAAGGCTCCGCCGCGGAAAAGCGTGCCCCTGCGGACCAGCGTGGCTCTCTGAAACCTCGGGGGAAAAGCAAGGGTGGGCTTGCCCTTCATTGTATCGAAAAGGTTCAAGTCTTGTGATGTTTTCCCCCAAGTCGAATACCGTGGTTCTCTGGGAGCGTGGTTACTGGTGTGTTTCTGCCATGAGAAGAGTGGACGTGGAAGCTGCAGGTGCTCAAGCCAGGACCCGTTTGTCGCATACCTAGAACTTCCCCTAGGATTGCAAGAGTCGATAGTGGAAGTGAGCAGCCAGTAACACATGTCCAAAAGCTGAAGCCTCGCTCTAGCCACTCTAATATCCTAGGTGCCTTAACTAGCTTTTTTGGTTGCAAGAATCAAATCCTTTCTACTTAGGGCACTGGCTTTGAGGAGGGCATGAGGCGAGGCCAGGGTTTATAAGGAGATTCGAGGAGCTGTAAAGGAAAAAAACTCTCACAAACTTCTGGGATACGAAACGTTTATCTTGGCCTCATCAGATGGGGATACAGCTTAAAGCATCTTTGCAGCAGGAGAATGAGAGTCTAAAGTTGCATACCTCAGTGTAGCACACAACTTTCTCCATGCCTGCCCCTTTCTCATATTTGCTCCTGAGTCCCTTATTCATTTCATGTATCTTTCATCTACCTCGCAGCCTCTGCTTTCTTTTTTGCTTCCTTATAACTTCTGACCCATCGTTACTGTATGTATCTTAATGATTTTCTCTCTGCATCCTTTCAGATTTGGTGTTTCCTACTAACTACCTGATCATCTCAGAGTTCGAGCCATATTTATGCCAGGTCTCACTTTGGGTGACTGGTCAGCCTAAGAGTGTCCTAGGAGACAGTCTGGTCAGATAGGCGCCACCCTCCCAGTGGGTATGTGAGTTGGCAGGCTTATGATAAGTAGACCCATTACCGCATTGGTTATGGGACAGAATACCAGACCTCTCAAGCAGTGACTATCTAATTTTTAGATACCTGCATAGAAAAGGTATTCATCCTGTAAATTTGAGAACAACATCTGGGTCTTACCAGTGAGACCAGTCAAATGGTTTAAAGAACCATTTCATGGGAAAGCATGATTTTACTTAATGACTTTGGAAGGTAAAGTTTGTAAACATTAGGGATACTGGTGGAATTTTAACAAAAAATTAGCCAAGTACTTAGCACCAAGAACTTCACCAAGTCTGTTGAAGAAAGCTACAAAATATGCAAGTGAATAAGTGGAAACCAGTTATTTGCAGTCTGGAAGAAGGTATTTTGTCATTTATATTTACTGAGAATGAACAAGAACTGGGAATCAGCACACAGGTCATACACTGAAGGGAGGGATAGGGTAGATATGAAAGCACATCATAGAAAAGTCAAGGAGGAGTCCTCAGAGAATATGTCATCTTCAACAAGTCACTCAATTTTCTTGCTTACAAAATTAGCTTGTTGGACTAGGTAATCTCTGAGGACTCTTACATTACTAAAAATCCATTTGGAAATGATTTATGAGCCAGGTGGTGAAATCCACATTTGAGGCAAAATTTTTATCAAGTGGATAAATGCCAAGTCAACAGGGGTAAACTGCAGGAAAACCATTCGAATTGTACCTGATGAGCAGAAAATTGGAAATGAGTTTCTGTGTGAGCCACTGTAGGGTAATATACATTTAGAAAAATAATTGTTCAAATTATACTTTGAGTAATGCTTTTGAACTGAATTTATTATACATGTGTAAATGTACTAACTATAGGAATCTAGTAATCATTTTACACTTTCTTGAAATCATGGACCTAAAACCTGAGACTCCCACTGGTATGATCTCTAAGATAATAAACTTGTTAAAAAATAATGTCCTTCTGTATTAAGGCTATGTCTTGTGAATTTCAAAGACAGCCCCTTCCCCCTTGTGAAGTTCTATTAGGCAATGCCCTTTAAACACTCTTGTCTTGAGTTCATCCTCTTTTGAGATTCAGTTCAATCATGACCTTCTCAGGACAAAGGTTTTTCCTAACTCTCCTCATGCACAACCCCAACCTCCATCCAAGCAGGTCTTTTCCTAAGTGTCATTTTACTTCAGTGCTTCCAAAAACGTGTCTGAAGACTAATTTGCCCTGTGTCGTACCAAAACCTGGAGATAGAAAGATAAGAGCTTTGGGTTCAGCAAAGCACCTACTATCAATGGCTTTTCTAACCTCTGTGGGACAGTTACAGAAACCATTTTCACAAACTGTGTTAAGTGCTGTGATGGGCATGCACAGGGGTGGAATCAAGAACACTTCCCAGAAGATGACATTGGGTCAAAGGCATGAAGCAGCATAGTACACTCCAATAACAACAAACAGTAGAAGATTATTTAATTGCTGGAGAGTTAAGTGTGATTCAGGGGTGACAGAGGATGAGACTGAGGGTGAAAAAGACCACATACTCAGGGGCCTAGGCACCATGCTAAGGAACTTGGACTTTATTCTTAGCTGACAGGCAGCCAGTAAAGCCATTACATACTAACATAAATAACATTTTTATGAAAAGTAACCATTAAATTAGTGACAAGAGTGACATTGTTCGACATTTTTGTAAGTCTCTTTAATGTTTGACTTAATGAAAGAAGGGTAGATTCTTGTATTTGTGTCTGCCTACGGCCTGTTGCTATATCACATGTCATTTAGCCTCTGGGAAATTCCACTGTACACGCATAAGAAAATGAGAAGAAGAAAAGAAGAAGAAAGAAAAGAAAACAAGAAGAAGAAAATTTCTTCTTGGTATTGTGAAAACAGTTTTCCTGATGGATCCCCTGAAAGGTCTCAGACCCCCCACTGGCCCCTGGCCCACACTTGGATAACACCATAGTGTCTAAAAACGAGAAGAGAACAAGCAATGAGAGTAGTGTCACAGAAGTCCAGATTGTCCCCTGTTTTGGGAAAGTGGTTGTGGTCAGGGGCACTTGCTTTAGCGAGGTCCAATAAATTAAGATGGAAATGTGGTCCCTGATGTCAGCAGTACGGAGATCTCTAGGGACATTTACCAGAGCAGTGTTAGTGCGGTGGTTAAGGCAAAACCTGGATTGTGGGGGTTGAGAAGTGAATCAGAAAGAAGTAAACAGCCATAGTCAGTGTAAACCAACCCATCACCCCAGGAACTCTGGTTAACATAATAGGGGAGTTTGGATAACTGCTAGAGCAAGACCCCACAAGAGGTGAGAAGTGCTGTGTCTGAGAGCACAGCTGGTCTTGGGACAGGAGGAGGGACACTTTTTCATCAGTGGGTGAAGGAGGTGAAGATGGGAAAGGATGGGAGGTTGAGGTGATTCATGCCATGCCTGACAGCCAGTTTCTGGATAAAGTGGAAAGTAAGTGGATGTTGAGGAAGCACTGTGCTCTCAGATTTATTATTACACATATCAAACACTATTGTCATTGTAGGTTTACTTGTCTCTGCCATTCATTCCTTGAAAGCAGAAATTCTGTTTTTGATCTGTATCCCTAGTGCTTAGCACAGTAACTATGCAGTATATGTTTATAATTATTTGTTAAAAAGAGGAAATTGTATTCAGAAGTAATTTTTATCAGCCATTTCTCCTCTTATAGGTTAAAAATAATGTAAAATATGAGAAAAAGCAAAAATAATGCCCAAATGCTTACAAATTGAGTATCAGAACTCCTTTCTTCATTAAATATTTGAGTATTACACTTCTTTGTACACTAAGCATTGCGGTGAGAGCTGCAAATCAAAATGAGCCTCCCATTAATGGTAGAGAGTGGTAACTGACCATTGACCTTAAAAAACAAAAGAGCCCATTATTTTACCAGCCAAATGAGTCTATTTGGGAACAGAGGAATTGCAATTCAGGACAGGCAGGCTGTGGCAAACCATAAGCCAATCTGGAGAACAAAGGAGAGGGGCTGCTTGGGAGGGGCTGCTTGGAACAAAAGACTGTTGGAGGAAAGTGAAGAGTTTAGGGTGTTGGTGGTTCCTCATTGGCTGAGGTTGTGGCAGTTTCTCCTTGGCTGGGTGGTTGCTGGGCAAGGAGATAACCTTCTTTCTGCTGGGATAGTAATGTGAACTTCTTCCGGTCCATTAGTGTGGGGTAAGCTAGATGGAAGTTCGTGAGTGACAGGTCCCCCTACAGGGCTTGCCGACTACATTTCAAATGAGACTTCCCTTTATGAATTTTCATAGTATCATCAGAAGTTTATCAGTAAAGTTCATGGGGCACTTGGGTGGCTCATTCGGTTAAGCGTCTGCCTTCAGCTCAGGTCGTAATCCTGGGGTCCTGGGATGGAGCCCAGCGCTGGGCTCCCTGCTCATCAGGGAGCCTGCTTCTCCCTCTTCCCCTCCACCTCCCCCCGACTCGTGCTCTCTCTCTCTATCTCTCTCGCTCTCTCAAATTAATAAAATCTTTAAAAAAAAAAAACTATCAGTAAAGTTCAAAGGAGGAAAAGGTGTATAGGGGAGCTGTCCTCATAAGCACCACCTTAAAAATAGATTATCAATAGGAATGCTTTTGAGTACAAGTGATAGAAAACCTTTACACAGTATATAAGGCGTTTATTCTCACATAGAGAAGGTCTAGAGGTAGGTAGCTGGTCAAACTGATTTAGCCACTAGATGATGTCAAGGTGTCTGAGTGTTCGTTTTCCTCTCATGTTTATGCCTGATGGTTGCAAACAGCTATTGAAGTTCCAAATATATCCTTATTCAAGGCAAGAAGCAGAAAAAAAGGGTGCCCCAACCAGGAAAGAGTAAGCTTTGTCTCATAAGGAAAGGGTAAACTTGGAACCGTTCTAGTGGACTTCCGGTTATAGCACTGACCAGAACTCTTGTTACATTTTTCTCACTAGCTGGGCATGGGGCTGGAAAATGAGGGTGTAGCTATTCCAGCCTCTAGTGGAAGGCAGCAAAGAGAAAAGGATTG